CCCCCCCCCCGTCCCTACTGGAGCTCCTGAAAAGCCTGAGGGAGAGGGTCTGGGGTGCGGTGAGGGATAACTAGACACCCCGAGTACAAACTGCTTCTTTTTGATCCTTGCTTGCTCACTTACTCTTTTCGACTGTGTTTAATTTTAATGAAGTTTTTAATGGTGTAAGAATCCAAGTATTTTGGTTTAAAAACAGCATGAGGTCTGGGTCGCACATTGTATCAGAGGTGCAGTCATCTTTCCAGTGTCGTTGACACGTGGCTTTCTGGTTGAATGTCACCTTGGGTCCTATTTGTGGGGTAAACAACATTGAGGGCTTTTCTCTATGGAGCTGCCAAGAGCTTGGAGGTTGAAAGTGATGTTTCTAAAAGACCACAGCAGCTCTTTCCTGTCTGAACTGAACCGTGTGTCTTACTGCCCTGCCGTCCTTACAGATTTCTTACCAGACCCAGCTCTGTGCAGAAATTCCACGTTTCACCACATTCTGCTCCCCTGAACTTCCTCTCAGTCAACCCCAGGGTGTTGCGGCTCTCTAGTTTTTTCCATTTTGGAAGAGACTTCTCTAAATATTTTGCTTTTCCGAGTCTTGTTGCTTTCGTCATTGTGAAGTCACCCAGGCCACTGGAGCTGTACTCTAAGGTCAAGCTCAGAACTGGTCTGTGTGTGAGTCTAAAGGACGTATGCACATGCTTTTGGAGTGACACTATGTGGTGGAAGGACTATTAGAACTCAAAAGAATAGTTAATAAAGCCAGTATTATTCCATGCGAGAACTGGCGTCTCTGTCTTACCAACCACTGCTGACTCTTGGCTCCCTTTGGAGAGATGGAGAGATGCATTTGGTTTTCCTTTGGGGAGAGTGGGGGTTGGGTTTTTTTTGTTATTGGCAGCTGGCCAGAGGGATGTGCTTGCTTCCTGTTGAGGTTCCTGCCTTGGTTAGCCTCCATTCCTGCCCATCCTTCTATAGCTGGCTCCTGAAAGTAAGTCACAGGAGCTGCTTCAGACTGAGCTGATGGGGCTTGGATTGAGGACCAGGGCACCTGTCTGGGTACAAATGCTGTGGGAGCAGAAGGTCTGCATGGCCCTTGCTCCTGGCTAAGAGGCTTCAGGGAACCCTGGGTTGGGCATAGATCTCAGGAAGGAAGTACTGGAGTCAGTGTTGGAATGAAATTAAAAGAGAATTTCCTCCACCTCCCCATCCCTAGGCCTAGAACCCAGGTTTCTTGATTTCCAGCCACTGCTCTGCTCTTTCACAGTTCCATGCCATTGTGTAACCCTCAGTTCTGAGGGATGAAACAGGCTGCTTTCTCACTGGGAGCAGTTCCAGGCCACACCCTATGGATGGCTTGAGGTCCAGGGAGTGAGAAGCAAACGGGAAGGGAGAAGCCGACACAGAAAATGATCATCTGTCCCTGTAGTTGACCCCAGAACTCCTGCGGCCCCAGCAAGTGCAGCACACGGCCCTGGCTTTTTTGGCCAGGCTCTTGTCCCCCTGGGAAGACCTATTTCTTATCTCTTTCAGTACCAAGGGCCTTTCACTTCCTGTTCCCTTCCTTCTCTGCCCTTGTTTGGGCCCCCCCTACCAGCCTGCAGGGAAGCAGAGTGACCGCCGGGGAGCTCCCAAGGCAGAGGAGGGCAGGCTACACCAGACACCCATTACAAGGCATCCAGCTCCAAGACTGCCTGGCTACACTCCCAGAGACAACAGGAAGCCCCAAGGTTTTGAACACTCAGTTTAATTTAAAACAGGCACAAGTGCAAACAATTCACAAAAATTTCTAGGGAAGATGATTTTGTTTTTAAAATTGACCCTTAAAAAAAG